GCGATGCCAGATCTTCACTTAGTTGTATCTTCATCTCTTTTAAATTAAGAAAGATGTAAATGGTCTCTCCTTTTCTCGACAATTCCTCTGCCAGCTTTTGTTGAAGGCATTAAACTAACTACGTTAGTACTGCGCTTCAGATTTATCACAACTGCTTCTCTTCAGTAATGACAGATGCTTGAAACGATATGATCAGCACTAAATGCAGCGCATCAACAACAATTAAATGTTAATAAACAATTAAAAGAGTAACCTTCGTAAGTAAGATGTGTGATGATAAGCAGAAAATGTTGAATGTGACGGCTCCGACATTCATTTGCCAAACAAGCCAGACCTTAACTAAATTAATGTTACGTCAACAGTTTATGTGACATTTAACAACATAGTCTATAATTTACCACGGAAGTGTAGAAACAGGTTCCCCAAATTCGAAAGCCGACTTTAAAATCTTTGACCGAGATCTCCGTGACTAATGGCGCCTGCTCTTGCACTGGTTTCGCGTCGATAAGCGACCAAGGTTCTCGCTCCCACAATGCAAAGCGTAATTCAAAAATACGGGAAAACACATGTAAAAACCAAAAACAGAAAAATTACTTTAAATATTACGGTATATTGTACTGTATATTGACAGTTTTTTCTTACAGTGTAGAGATTTTACAATGCTAAAAACATTGATACTTTTATTGGTCGAAACTGAACATATAGGAATGTATTCTGATTGGTCGCCGTGATTTTACCAAGTAAGACATGTTCCTGGATCAACATCTTTTGTTGATCCTGGATCAACATTACTGTCCAAAAATACAGACTTAACCCAATCCCCACCCCTAAACCTAAATTTACCCATAATTTATTCCTAAAATCAGAGGGAAGTGATAGCTTATTGACAAGGGTGTAGAAGCACCTAATCCTGATTGTAATCCTGAATGTCTAAAACTGACATTTCCTGAAAAGTTATCTCTCAATTCTGATTCATGATTGGAATAATGTTGATCCAGGAACATATTGTACTTGGTCAAATCACACTCACCATTCTGATTACATTTAATTATACTCTAGCAAGAGAAAGTGCTATATAAATACATATGAAATTCATATAATATATACAGTAAATCCTGTAAATGAGAAAATGGAAAATTGCCCGAAATAGCTTAGATCAGCTTTTAATAAAGAGACATCACAAGCCTATGCTTGTTCCTCTCTGCCCTCCTACACCACAGTTTAACCCTGGTACACTCTGTTCTCGACCTAAAGTACTATGTTTCATGAATAAATGAACACATCCAATCTTTTAAAAAGGGGTAATAATAGATTGTCACCAAGGTAATTATCATTTGTCCTATTTGGAGGGTGCTGAGACAAAAAGTGCTGAACGGTTTTGTTGCATGATCATATATTCTAAAAAAAAACAGGCTATTAGAAAATGGCCAGAGGGAGGAAAACGTAATTGCATCGTTTAAAACAACCCATAAGAAAAATCACTTGATATATATGACTTGCTTCACAGACATAACATTGGAGCTTTTCCTTTCATTGACGTTTAAAGCTGTCATAGCAGACCGTAACTGTCATGCTTGATGTTCTCACAAAGCACCTGAAACATCGATGTGTTGATGTACTGTATTTGGCCCTTGCACTTGTGCTGTGTTTACATATATCACGTTTCTCAGTCGCGTGTTTCATCCCTTGTCGGAATGAAGTGATCGCCCTTTTTCTTTGCCCTATCAGATGCACACTCAGGCTTATCCTCAGCCAATTGGAAGAGCCGTTGAGCTGTGTTAATGAGGTTACTGTGAACCTGGCCTCCGCTGTTAGCAAACAGACTTTTACTATGCCAGACATGACTGATTGGCACTTTGTATGTCTTTGTAATTCACTGAGGATGAAAACCAAGTTCTTGTTCTTTACAAAATTCCTTTAGATTGCTCATAGCCACCCACACAGTGGAAGCCTCTCGTTGCATGTAGACTTTAAGAGCCCCACCCTGCCACAGCAGCCCAAAGATAGCGAGAGCTTACCTGTGAACTGGTCCACAAGTCATCTTCTGTGTCATGCTCTATATCTTATCACCCTTGACTGACTGATGGCTTGACATAAAAACAGTGGCAGAGGGGATTATAATTGATCTGTTAAAGGACTGTGCTTTAGATGTGTACTTTTGATGATCAGTTCATGTATGTCTGAAACAAAAACAAAGACAATATTTTGCTATATCCTGCTTGCAAAATTGTTTACTACAAATAAATAACTCCCCTGTGTATATATATATATATATATATATATATATATACACAGGGGAGTTATTTATTTGTAGTAAACAATTTTGCAAGCAGGATATAGCAAAATATTGTCTTTGTTTTTGTTTCAGACATACATGAACTGATCATCAAAAGTACACATCTACACAGTTGAAAAAGATTGCGCCGTTAATTTTTTTTTGTTATTTTTTTATTTTTGATGAATAGAAAATTCAAAAGAATATTTATGTGAAATTTATTTTTTGTAAGAATGTTTTTACTGTCATGTTTGAGCAGTTTAGTGCATTCTTTTTGAATAAAAGTCTTTTTTTTTTATTTCTTTAAAGTCTTACTGACTTCTGAATGACATTTATGCGTGTGTGTGTGTGTGTGTGTGTGTGTACAGTACATATTATATATTAAAAGTAAATAAAACACCTAAAAATTAATCTGTAAAACTATATAACTAAAAATGCCTCTTTTTTTTGTAAATGTAAGTTTGAAATATGAATATTTATTTTTAGATTGGCTAAGGATTACATAACGTAAAAATATGGAAAATTAACATTTTACAATTAAATTGAAAATCTAGTGTTGGCCTACAATTTATATGTAATATATGTAAATCAATAGCTGGGTTTCCATCGAAACATGAAGCGAATCTTTTCAAAGTTTGCAAAAAAGAAAAACAAATGCGAATTAGGTGCATTTCCATCAGGTTGTTCGAGCAGATGATGGTGGTATTGGTAACCTAGTATCCAACAGTAAATAAAACACAATCAGTGGAAACAGCCAATTAGTCACGTGGGTTTAATGTTCACTACGTCAGAATTTATTTGACAAATGCGTTTCCATCTCCCATTATTCGCATTAACTTGCTACTTGCTTAAGTGTGTGTAAAAGTGTTTTTACAAATTCAGCGATTTTTTTTCCCCCCAAAATTGGGCGTTTCCATCACTTGTTACTGATGTGATACTTCAAAATATGCATAAAAGCAGGATGATGGAAGCATAGCAACTGTTAAGATACTGTTACATCATGCATCCCTATAAAAAAAGATTGAAATTATTATTATTTTTTTTTTTTACTTTCTTTCAGTTGGAGGCAGCAAACCAGCTTCTTCAGCAGGCCCAGCAGCCACACAGCTACCTGATTGAGACCGTGCGACAGAGAGACACTCAGATCCAAACACTGAAAGAACGTCTCACGCGATTAGAAGAGGAAGTAAGGTAAAGGGGAAGTAAATGATTATCACAGATTTATGGATACATCCTGTTTTTAATACAACAGCACCATTTAAAATCTTTACAAAGCTTTTATTTTGAAAGGATATAGGTGGAGTCGCCATAGAATCATTGCCATTGTTTTGTAACAATAGTCGCAACGGTTTCTGACTAGTAATTTGCGTGTTCCAAGGTATGCATTTGTATTGGCCGAGGTAGTAGGCAATATCTGAAATAACTTAAATACATTCCAACTTATTGAGGAGCAAAGGTAATGCGCCTGCCAATAGAGGTCAGGCTCCATCTGACAGGAGTGTGTGTGCGTACATGCATGGCTAGATGTTTTTTCTTGGCTCTCTCACATGTCAATGACTGCTGTAATCCCGTACCTGTATGTGCAAACTGTACAAGCAGGTTTTCTCCTGTATTAGTGTCTTTAGGGGTCCTCCTGGGGCTAATGTGAAAAATATACAAATGAATCTCCTACATATCAGCATCTAGCAGCTTTTATTAGAAGGTTACTTGTGGCTGGGGGGATTGTTGAGTAAGGATTATTTCAAAACTTTATACCTTTATATTGAAGTGATGGAGAGGTTAGTCTCGGTGAAGGTTGTCTGTTCAGTGCAAACAGGTGCTGTGTAGTCAGTGAGGTGTATGCAATTCATTTATCGCTCACTGATTTCACATTAGTTTTATTTTTTCTTAACTAGTTCTGTCAAGCCCTCCAGGTTGTGAGTTTGTTAACAGCTCAGTGTTAATTCTGTAGAAATGGTAGTGCACTAAGAGATAAATACCTTTGTCATCACTCATTACTCATGCCATATGTTTGACAAAGATTTGCTCTGTTGAAATGCAGTTTTTGTCGTGTATGACCATCAGTGGTGTATTTCACACGACAAGCAGGTGACTTTTACACTCGTATACCCTGAAGAAAATTTGATGTACAAATAATTCTCAAATGATTACAAAGAAACGGCAAGTAACACATGGAATTAAACACGAAATTTTGAAGTGTAAAGACTGAAATAATATTTTGTAAGACATACTCTAGTAATCTAAATCATTTTTGCAATGTTGACACATTATCCTAAATGTATGCCACTGTTTTGAACACATACGTAATAATTAATTGGTTGATACTTACATGGGTTAAGTCGTAAAAATTCAATGAATTTTGTAAATGTATGTTACAAATTACTACACAGACTTGTCAAAATTCAAGACATCTTTTCTTAGACACTTTTGGATGAATTTTTACAGTGCACTACGGAAAGAGAAGATTACACTGCTGCAGGTGAAAAACAACATGGCAGCAGATTTGGAGAGACTCCTGAACCACAGAGAGGTAACTGTTGTGTCAGCTGATTAAAAATTACTCTAACCTATTTAGCCCCCTAGGTTTCAAAACGCAGTTTGGTTTTGAATTCATACTTTGAAAGAAAAAAGAAAATAATCTAGAAGAACCTTAATATTGTGTCCTTGTTTATTTTACTGTTCCTTTGCTAAATGTTGTAAAACATACTGAACCCAAAATTTAGATTTGGATGTGTGCTGTGTATAGTTTGGCAGGATCACTATCCCTCAATGATCCGCCAAAAAAAACAAAACAATTGTCTTGGGTGGACAGAGTCATACACATGATTAAGCTGCAAAATTGTGATTCATACATGAAGTACTGTACATTAATATATCGTTTTACAATTCCAGTGGCATTTCCATTAAAATATATATATATATATATATATATATATATATATCCGTAATTCATCAATAATATGTTAAAGTACTTTCATATTTCACACAATGTGTAAATAACAGGAGGAAGTTTTATTTTATTTGACTGACTGGCTCTTATGTAAGTGTTGTTACACCAAACTAAAGATCATAGAAACCACTAACCACTGACTAACTTCACAATGCATTTGAAGGGGGAAAAAAATATTATTGTTTTTAACTTTTATTCATTTCCATATCAGATACTAGGACTGTTTTCAATGTACAACCTTTTATAACTGGCATAATGGGGTGATGCATAATTACCATTAAAAAAAACCTGATACTGTAACATGTTGTAAACATGTATAACATGTTACTGATTGTTCAGTCAGAGTCAATCCCCCACATGACCTTTAGTCTGAGGAATTTTCCATGGGTCATTTTTGTAGTGTTGATTTTGTAATGTTTGACCATTTATTTTTAATTAATTCTACATTTTATTATTTCAGTTTGTCAAGTTTACTGTATTTTACAATTAACTTTTTTTTTTTTTTTAAAGTGGAAGTGGGTCCACTTAGTTGCATTTTAAAGAAATTTCATGCATATTTCGTTTTATTTTTAGCAAATTCAAAATGATTAATTATAAAAATAATACTCACTTAAAAACTGCTTTTTTTGAGGAATGTTATCATACATTGTCCATTAAAGGTGTCCACACATGACTACAAGAGAGTAGTTCCCACATACACTAACATACACTAGTCTAGTTTAGGTGTGTCCTCTTTCATTATTACTCAGTCACTCAGCCTGCCTTTCCAATTAGTAGTTGCACTGCGTACCTGCAGTTTACTCTCTAAACAAGTCATACCTTCACCGTAAAACCTATCATGCAAATTAGGAATCTGCAGCTCTAGTAACTGATGGATGCCTCAGCTTCAGTTTAGGAAGCTCTCAGTACAGCTCAGTTGCGACAACGGCTTTCCTAGAAGTTTCTGAGATGCAGTGAATAACTAGAAAATCCAGTCTCTCGGGTCAACTGTTTGCCATGCTCAAGTCATCAGATTAGTAATAACCTTGCTGCTTGTGGTTGTTTTTGATGATAGACAGCTAATACATTGCCTCATTGAGGGGAACCCATATGTAAAGCCAAAATCCACTTGACCCATAGATTCAGAATTCAGTGTTTTGAATGACAAGGTATGAAACAAAGAACAGGTCAGTACACAGTATGATTTTCTGTGAAATTTTGATTGTTGAATTGTGTTTCTATTAAATGAATGGAGTTGTCCTGTCTCTTAAAGGCACATGAAGGTACACAACACCTCCTCTGACATTCTGAACTCTTGGGATATTAAGGACAGGGCGTAACTTATTAAGCGCCGGTGCAATCTGGAGCTATTTTCAACCAAATACTGCTGGCACACACTGTGCCGACTTGGCATGTTGGCAGAAAGCATGCAATCCTCACAGGCAGCTGCTCTTCACTGGCGCTTTTTGGCATGCCAGCACATATGGTCGCGCAGTGATAAATAGAAATATTGAATGACTCTTACGCATCGGGCTGATCTACACTTGCATGAACCAGGCGGCCATGTGCTAGCAGGGGGTATTTTACATTGTCGTTGTACGTGTGAATAGTAACCGTTTGCGTACAGTGCTATGCGAAATTTTTAGGTTTTTGTTTTGACAACAAAACTTGCTTTCCTTTAAACAAGCTTTTTTTCTGTACGTTTTTGTTGCTGCATTCCTGTTGCATAATATGGAATGTCTGCCCCCTTTATTTTAAGACCTAAAGGGTTTTACTCAGGACAAGTACAGTTTTTGTGCAGTATTGTGTAGCCTTAAAAATATCTTATATATCTGTTACCGGTGCTTTTCGGTTTAAAAAGCTTCTTGGCATCTGGGATTTTTATCAGCATGCTGAAACACGAGTATGAGCAGCAACTCACATCACACATGTCTTTTTCTATAAACATTTTTAATTTTTTCACACAAGTCAGGGAAAAACATGAAGCATTTGTTTTTCCAATCTAGCCACAAATTGCTGGGAAGTTGTAGCTGAGAACACAGGAATCATAAACATAGATGAACTCGCTCATTAATATGCAGTTGTCCGCAAGTATTTGTTTTTTATTAAAACTTTATAGTAAAACACCAGATGGACAGTATTTTATTTTACCTCATAAACAGTTTTTTGTTTTTGTTTTAGTTGTATTTCTTCTTTTTTTTTTTTTTTAAATAAATGTTAAGAAAAGCATTATAAATATTGCCGTTTCACTGTTTTCAAGCAACCTCTGTGTCACATTGTTTATAATGAGATACTGGGTAATTATTTTCCTTTGTGACATGTATGCAGCAACATTTTTCATCAAACCTGTGTCCGTTTTCAGAACTGTATTACGCTGATGACTTTAATGAAAGAACACTGTTGTGTGTGAGGGTGTTTCCTTCAATTGATTCAGAAGTATTTACACTAAAGCTTTGTAGAGGTACTCTCAGGGCACCCCTTGTACTGGAGAGGTTATGAAGATACGCCTCCAATTGCCATTGAAGCTTTGAATGAAGTGTTTGCATGAACCCCCAGGCTGCTCCAGCAGGTTTCTGTAATGTTTTTTTTTGTATATGTGATGTATTGTGAGCCACTTCCAATTAGAACATTAGAAAGAGAACAAGAAAGAATGAAAGAAGTATCTGCAACAAAAAAAAACAGACATTAAGCAATAGTTCATCCAAAAGTTAAAATTCTGTCATTTATTTATTCACATGTGTCATTTCACACTCGTGTCATTTCATTGGCACTGACCTTGTCCATCAAGCGGTAGTAAGAACCAAAAGCACCATAAAAGCACTATGTAAGTAGTCCATATTATTCTTAATATCTGTCAAGCTCCAAAAAGAATAAAATAAAATAGTAGCCTAAGCAACTATATTTAAAGTACTAAAATACGCTTTATTTTTCAACTGTCCCGACTCCTGCAAATGTTTGATTACAGGGCATGCAAAAGCAAATGGCATTTGGTGTCTGTAATTTGCTTTTTTATTATATGAACACAGTTGTAAGTAGGATTTCAGAACTTCAGCGAAGGGGAAGATTTTCAGTCAATGGCACCACAAATTAAAATTGATTTATAATGCATTTTTAATTTGTTATATTGCTTTAGAAGTGGATTTTTTATGGCTTTGGAATATAGTGCGCAAGTTGCTTCAAAGACTATGGAAATACAAAGACGGTTCACTCCTATACTTATGAATGGGAGAAACTGCAACGCGCAATATGGCGGGATAGTCCCACCTTCTAAATGAAAGAGCCAATCGTTGATTGGTAAAGTCAATGCATCTCTGCAGCGGCCGTTAGAAGCTCCGGTTCCCATAGAAACCTGAGGCTGGACCAGCCGATGCACATGCGCAGTCTTATTAAGCGAGTTGGAGCTACGCATGCGCATTGGCTGGTCTAGCCTGAAAAATAAGCTTTTTGAACGCTATTTGAGCATAAGAAACAACATTCATGGGGCAGTTAATTTCAGATTTTGTTGCTGATTTGAAATATGTAATTTAATTGCGAGTTCAGCGAGCAGTTTTTGAGATTTCAGGATTCCCCCATTCATTTAGATAGGACTTGGTCTTGTTTGACCTGCCCGGAGGCATTGCAAATATGGCGGCCGAGTGAACCGACTTTCCTTGAAAGGGACTTTGGTTGCTTAGGCTTCTTTTGTTATTTTATTTGTCGACAGATAGTATCACTGCAAGCTGTTGCATGATAAAAAGGTGTGTGGAAATTCCAAATTCTCCTTTTGTGTTTCATGGCAAAAAAATATGTGCAAATAATAGTGTTTTAAATGACTTGCGGTTGTATGGATGCTACGGAATGTTGACATCTTACATCAGGACACATGGGATGTTTGTGTTTGCAGTTTCAGTCTTAATTGCCCTACCTAAGGGCATAGCACTGCTGGCAAAACAAGACTGCAATCAAAGCACCACAGAAGCTTCAGGCTCTTTCTTACCTGTTGTGAAGGGGAAGCGCTTTAACCTTCAGGCTACCACTGATTTGTTCTTACTCTGTTGCAGGAACTTTCTGTGATGAAGCAAGTCCTGCTTAGCATGCGCTCACAGCAGCACGGTGGGCCTCTGTCTGTGTCCCAACCTGAGCTTGAGACCGATGGCGTTGGTACAGCAGTTCATAGACCCAAAGCTTTAAAAAGCACAGACGAGGCGCAATACAACTATGGTCCCAAACCCACAGTGTTTGTAAGTTTTACTTGACTACCCATGTACAGAGCCTTTCAAACGGTATTTTGTCTTCTCTATGAACTAAAAAATTTCACTTTTTTTTCAACTTTCATATTCTTTCTATTTAGCTTTCTATTTGAGCTGATATCTACTTGCGGCTAGACTCACATTCATTTTTACAGCATTTTTTTTACTCAGAGTAAAGTCCAAAGAAATTGTCAAAGATATTTAACAATGTTGTTTTTTTTTTTCTTTCAACAGACCAATAAAGAAGTTCCAGAATGGTACAGAAAAGTCAAACGGAAAACTAAATAGAGACTTGTTCAACTTGTTTAAGACTTAAAGGATGATGATCCATGACATGCAATCCCGAATGAAAGTCTGTTTTAAAAGACCTATTACATAACTAGATACACATGTTTGATGTGTAGCCATGAAGAATGTGAACCTCAAACTATGAATTTTCCTTTTAATGGTAATAAATCATTCAAACAGGCGTGTGAAATTGTTTTTAAAGTAGGCCTATTTCAAATTGTATAAGCGCTCATAGCTTTACAGTATCGGAATATAAGCATTTTTATCTTCACCCTGAAGAGATATCTCAATATCTGAATGTATCATTTGATGGTAATAAGATCTGGATCCTTCCGTTTTGATTCGTAAGACGCGAGACACGCCGTTGATAAAAATAGAGGAGCGCGCGCATATCTACATTTAATTGTTTCCTTAGCCTAATAGGCTAGGCCTACTGTTCGTCGTTTGAATTGCTAAAATGTTACATTATCAAATTCTTGGAAATTTGGAATTTTGTCCCCCATCCAGATTTTCAATAAACGTACAAAAAGTGTTAAATTCAGGACAACTCTACTTTACACTTTGTCATAAGAACGTATTTCAGTGTATTAGTTATATAGGCCAGTTTTAGCAAATAATCTCTGCTTGTATTTTTATAACAACTAATCGCTAATTTCCATCATAACATAATCTAATTTATTTATCTAGGCTATCAATTACACCAGGTCAGTTAAAAAAATTAAGAAATGAAAGATGATAAATAAATTTTACATCATGATCTGCATTGAGTTTTTCTAGGTGTTATTATCAAAGAAGGTTATTATTTGTGAATTTACGGTAAATTTAGGTTTATTTTTTATTAGAAATTCAAAGTTAATTTTCTACGCAACTGGTGTTCGCTACTCCAGTGCTTATCCAAATCTCCAAGTGCAAACAAACAATAGCCTAAGTAAGTAAATAAATAAGTAGCCTACATAAATGGCATTACCATAACACATAGGCTAGCATAATATGAAGAATCACCACTGCTCAAAATTTGAAGTAGTTCAAAGCGTCCTCCAATGAAGAATCACTCGTGTATTTCAGAAGGATTCGGTCATGTTTTTGGGATTTCCCCGTGGCTGTAACGCAGGGGAAGAGTCTGGGCTGGGTCGGGGAGCGCACAGACTCCTGTCAGTTGCTTGCAGTTGGTTTCTTGGCTACCGAACCATCAACAACTGACTCCCTTATTCCTCACCCACGCGCGCCGCTCTCGCGCTCCTGAAACTTCCCAGCAACGCCGAGCCTCAATCTGAAAACGCGTGAAAGAGATACATGTCTGGCGAACAGCTGGAAGATCTAAATCTAGAAATAGCTATGTGTAGCAGCCGCGTAAAGAGCTCTGGCATTCCGAGCGTCTGTATGCATGTATGTGAGTGAGTGTTTTTATTTTTCCTCATGTTTATTCTTCTAATGACTCCGTAGATGTTACTCTCAGGAAGTAATGAATGAGTCTTGATTTACTATTTTCTGCTGATTACGGTTTTATGATAATTGGGAGGCATTTATTTGGAAAGGCTGAGCAATCTCTCCAGCATGCTTTCCACCTGTCAGCAAGTCTGTTTTGAGCTTGTGGTATGAGCGCTGTTTTACAGTCTAAGGCGGAATGTAGCAGAGACATATCGAAGAAGACTTGATAAATGCTTTACCTCTGACTGCTCCATACAGCAAAACAAACGATTCATGCTCGCAATATATACACAATCGCAGATCAGCTGATAAAACCTCAAGTTCTGATTTTTAGGTTTTATATCTTGACTTTGAGTGAAAATCATACTTTTACTCATGTTGGTAGTGCAGATACACTGTAAACATAATACATTCAATGACAGCAAAATGAGATAAATTTTACTAAAAAAATTCACAGGAAAAAAAAACATGATTCATTATTAGTTAATAAGATTCAAAGACCTGTCTGTTAATCGTTCAGCAGAAATGATTATCGGTTTCTTCAAAAATGCCAAATATCGGTCATTTACTTAGCCTGGCCGATAAATCGGTTTATCACTAGATGTATATATTTAGTTTTACCTGTGCTAATACTTGCCTTTTCTTTTTACTAAAACTTTATTTCCTTTTTTTTTTTTACTATGCATTCAAGGTTAATTGACTTCTATTACCATTATTATTGCTATTACCATTGACTTACCATTACCTATAATATAGTTTGAAAAGTCATCAGTTTTCAAGATTTCAAGTAGTCCAAAGTGTCCTCTATTTAAGAGGAAACAAAGGTATTATCTCCTAATTACTCAGCCTGGCCAATAAATCAGTTTATCGCTATTTGTATATGATATATTTAGTTTTACCTGCTCCAACATGCTTGTTCATATGAAGAATAATGCTGCTTTTTTAAAATCCCTATTTCATAACACAGATTAGCAAATAATCGCATAGCACAAGTGTACTGGGGAATAAAATGTATGTTTTTTAATGCAAAATATATTTATATTTGTAAGCTAAATTAAGTGTCTGCTGTGTTCAGTAGTCCATATAATATTTTAGCAGAGTAAGCAGGTATGTTGGCCATTGTTGTAACAGTAAGTGGATATTTGCATTCTTGCAAGCTTTTCTAAAATTTTATGTATACCTTGTTTGTGCTCGGCCAACACAAGCAGTCCCAGGAGATCCTGCCAGCTTTGCTGACAGAAGCAGTGTGTGCAATATTATTCTGAAATTTGTTTATCTTGTTTGCCTTTAATGGCCTTTACAACTGCATTTACAATGTTATGCTTCTCTCTTCTGCTCTCTAGGCTAAACTAGAGATGGATAAATATCTGTCTCCACAACCTGTGGCTCTCCCCTACCCAAAGAAGTCAAGACGAGAGAGCGTCTCTTCAATGGACCAGTTTTTCGGGGATGACCACGGTTCCCCCTACAGCATCAACATGAATGTCTTCCTCCCCGACATTGCTTATCTAAGAACGGGGATGTGCCGGCCGACGCGGCCTTCGGTCCCCAGCCAGATCAAAACTGAACCTGTAGCGGTGCCTTTCTCTCATCCCGAGTGTCCGGTGAGCTCGACCGGCCCCGTTTCATCCGCGCTTCCCGATTTCACCAGCATCTTTAACTCGAATTCCACTTCGGGTTCTGAAATCAATGCCATGGACGATAACTCGGGGGTCTTTGTCAAGCAGGAGATGCAAGGCTTTGACATCCCGCAGGATGGGCCGCTTTTCCAGCTCCTCAGCTCAGAGCTGGACGTGCCGCATCAAGCCAACTCGCACTCCCACCCTCACGCTCACTCTGTGCCCTCACAGATGCCTACTTTCCATGACCTGCACTTAGCGACCCAACAGACTGCTGCCAAGACGTACTGTGGCATGTCCGGCTACCCTCTTGGCCCGGGCCACTTTGTGCATCCTCAGGGTCAGGCCCACTCCCAGCTCAAAATGCCCTATCTTCCCCCCTCACCTCCCACTTCAGAACCTGGCAGTCCTGACAGACAGAAGGAAATGCTTCACAATCTGACACCACCACCATCTTACGCCGCCACTATCGCCTCCAAAATGGCTGACCATGCGCCCAGTCACCCAACACCCACCTCGACACGAGCTCCCGCCACCACTGGGTCTATGCCTGTCCGTTACAACCGAAGAACAAACCCAGACCTCGAGAAAAGACGGATACACCACTGTGATTTTGCAGGTACAAACTGTTTTTTCAATTGAACTAGATCTATAGCCAAATTGACAAGATGCTGCTGTGTTTTCTGAAGCACTATGTTGCTTTCTACTGCACTTTCTTACTCACACACTTGAATCCACTGTTAAATAATTCAGAGACGACCAAAGCCTTTTAACCAGCGCTCAGAATGAATGCCAAAGAGTTGACGTCAGGCTGATTGTTATTGAATCCTGTTGCATCAAATTGACTGGGCAAATTGTAAAACAGACAAGCCTCACAGTGCCATTAATAGTGCATTTACGCTAAGAAGCTGCATGTCTGAAGCGACGAGCATCGCAATTAAGAACCCATCACTGCTTTACTTCACTGAGTGGGGTTTTACAGCTAACGACATGAGATGGGCTTTGGATTCCTAATTGGAAAAGAAAGCATACTGAAACCAAATAACAGGATGCTGTTATATGTGACTGTGGCGATGAATGAACCAACTGCTTTTGTGTTGGTGGCTAAAAAAATAAATCACTCTCTTGTCCTGCTTTTAATGCATCAGACATTAAAATGGCATTGTTTTGTTTTATAATTTATAACTGAAATGTGTAATAATTTTAATGTTATTTTAATAATTATTTTTTGCTATCAAAAGCCTTACAGCGTTTTTTATCTGTGAAAAGATTAAACCAATCTCATACTGTTTATGCATCAAGCATATTATTTGAATTTTATTCATATTAAATATTGTTTGTATTGTTTAATAATTCATGATTATTTTAATATTTTTTATCAGTAGCCTTCCAGCATTGTATATCTCTCAAAAGATTATGCATCAAACATAATAATTGCATTGTTTTAAATACTTAGTTTATCATTTAAATATTTAATAATTGTTTTCACAGTTTATATATATATATATATATATATATATATATATTTATTTATAGTTATCAGCAGCCTCACAAAATTTTTTATCTTCTAAAAATAAAACACTGTTGTCATGATGTTTATGTATCAAGAATAATTGCATTTTTTAAATGTATAATAATTTATAATTATTTCAATAATAATTTTTTTTTATCAGTAGCCAAGATTTTTTTTTTCTCTCTCAGAAGATTAAGCACTCTTGTCATAGTGTTTATGGGTCAAGCATAATAATTGCATTGTTTTGTTTAATACCTACAATTTACAATTTAAATATTTAATAATTTATAATTGTTTTTATACTTTATGTAGTTTTTCAATAGCCTCCCAAATTTTTTTATCTCTCAAAAAATTAAAACACTATTGTCATGCTGTTTATGTATCAAGCATAATGATTGCATTGTTTTTAATACTGATAATTTATAAAAATGTATAATGTATAATTATTTTAATAATTGATATTTTAAACCTTTTTCGGTCTCTTAAAAAAGATTAAAGCACACTCACGTCATACTGTTCATGTATCAAATATAAAAATAGCATTTTTAATACATAAAATTTATAATTTGAATATTTAATAATTTACAATTATTTCATACATTTTGAACATCTTCCCAACATTTTTTGAACACACAAATGCTTACTGTTGTGAGTAACAAAAGCTGTTCTCTTTTTTTAGGTTGTAAGAAAGTTTACACCAAGTCTTCCCACCTGAAAGCTCACTTAAGGACACACACTGGTAAGAGTTCCCCAATTAAAAATGGTTTTATTTATGCTGGATAAAGCTGGCCTCCTATTTTGGCACTTTACTGTCATGTTGCTGGGCAGAAGTGCATTGTTGGCATGCACATGCGTTCATTCTTGCACGCTGCCTGAAAGCTATCCTGCGTCGCTTCCTAATATGAGATTGCACCAAAACCAGGCCCAAATACATCAGCAGGAACAGCCTATTCTACTTCCCTTTTCCATATCAATTTATAACGCCCAGTATTTGAATGACCTCTAGGCAGCATTTGAAATTATCAGTAGAAAAACATTTTCGGTGTTGAACTCTCTCTCTATAAAAATATATTTGAAGATATAGATTTAGTATCTGAATGGAAGTAAACAGAAGAGCAGACCTCATTTGACCCAGAGGAGTGAATATGAATACATTCCGGAATGTGGCCTTTGGTATGTGAACTTAATCAACTGATAAACTACTGTACTTATCAGGCCATTTTCATTTTCAAGGTATAGATTTATGCTACCAATTCCTGAGTCTAATTACAGGCTCATACTGGTTGTAAAGCACTATTACGATAAGATATCAAAACCCACTCTTTTCTGGAAGACTTGACATTGCATGATTTAGTCTTTTGACAGTGTTACTCTGTTTGAATAAACAGCTTGTCAAGGTGAGATTTACACAATGCAAGTGCTAGTTTGAAATTCACAATGGCATTTAGTTTGTAATAAATTTTTAAGAAGTAATTAAATTATTTATTTTTCTCCTAAAAACAGGTTGGGTCAATTTAATGATGCCAACATTTTTGGTACCCAAGATACACAAAATTGCTTAAAATAAATACACAAAAATCCTAACTCTTAAATTATTTATTCAAAGCTCACTAAATAATTTGAACTAAAATATTTTAAGATTTTTTTAACCTGTTAACTGTTCCAGTATTTGACCGCACAGACCATACATTGTTGTAAATCTTGATGTTTTGGACCACAAATTTCAGTTTGGTCTCTTTTAATGTAAAACGTCCTTGCTGAATAAAAGTTTTCATTTCTTTCAAAAAAAACAACAACTTTTGAATGGTAGTGTAGATTTAACACTCATTATCACTCATTTAGCAATATTAAGTACTATTACTTTATTAATAATATTAAGTAGTATTATAAAACCATCACCAACCACTATCATGTTATCTTGAACAGGTATGATTAATAAACAGATAAACATCACCTCTATTTTATTTGACTAAGAAAAACCACACCATGTCTAGATAACAAATGAAGATAAAACCCAATCCAACCAGTCCTTGGAGAGAAGAGAGGGGCCTCAGGCAGACAACGCACAAGACGAGATATCCAAACAAGTCATTACAGGATTCCTGTTCAGGGCTCTCCTCACAAACATTAAAGCTCAAGACAGGCACATGTTCTGACGTTTAGCTGCTTAAATGTTTTTGAGCGCCGCACCTACTGCATGAGGTTGAAACAGCTTAACTTACAGTATCACTCTTTATAGTCCATTTTCTATTACTTAAAAGCCAATAGCAAAGATAAATGATAACATTGAAATAGTGTTTTCAGGTTGTTGTCGTTTGCACTGATATTTCAAACAATAAAAATTTAATTACTCAAAGCATGTAATGTTTACAGTGCAGAAAACGCATTATCAAGTTAAATGATACTTCCCTCAAAAATGAACATTATGTCATCATTTACTCAACCTCACATCATTCCAAACCTGAGTTTCTTACTTCAGTGTAGCACAAAGATTTTTAATTTTTTTTGTCCATACAATTAAAAGTCATTGTGGTCAAATGTTGTTTTGGACCCCACTGACTTTCATTGTTTTGACAAAAATAGTTAAAACATTCTTCAAAATATCTTTAATGTTCCACAGAATAAAGAAACTCATACAGGTTTGAAATGACACGAGGGTGAGAAAATGATCACAAAATTCCATTAAATTGATAGTTCAAATGAAAAATTCTGTCACAATTTACTAACTCTCAAGTTGTTCCAAACTTGTATGAGCTTGGGTAACCAAACAGTTGCCAGTAGCCATTGACTTCCATAGTATTTTTAGGGAAGTCACTGGCTACCAGCAACTGTTTGGTTACCAACATTCTTTAAAATATCTTCTTTTGTGTTCAACAGAAGAAAGAAACTCTTCTGAGAATAATTTGAGAGTGAGTAAATGATGCCAGAATTTTCATTTTTAGGTAAACTGTCCCTTTAAAGATACAAAATAAAGTCACAATCATAATCATTGGAGAGTAGTCTGAATGTAAGATTTGCATTTTTATTATCTGCCATCGACTATCAGAATACCTATTTTAATGCATGTGTTGAGCTGGCCAGATTTTCCAAAAGCATTATCAAATCGACTTGATTTTTGGTAGAGAAAAGAAAAAATATTCGTATCATAGGCAAACATTGTGCTGCTATTTATGGCCGACGATGAGTTTAGTCTTGTCAGCTTCCACGAACATACCAAAATACTGAAATACTTTAATCTTAGAGATTGAGTTAAGTGAAGTTTATGTGCTCCACACCTCTCGGTATACAGTGGGTACGGAAAGTATTCAGACCCCCTTAAATTTTTCACTCTTTGTTATATTGCAGCCATTTGCTAAAATCATTTAAGTTAATTTTTTTTCCTCATTAATGTACGCTGGCCGGATTTTCCAAAAGCATTATCAAATCGACTTGATTTTTGGTAGAGAAAAGAAAAAATATTCGTATCGTCTTTTAAAAAATACATTCTAGAAAGGCAAACATTGTGCTGCTATTTATGGCCGACGATGAGTTTAGTCTTGTCAGCTTCCACGAACATACCAAAATACTGAAATACTTTAATCTTAGCGATTGAGTTAAGTGAAGTTTATGTGCTCCACACCTCTCGGTATATGTTTGTTATGGTTACTATAGTGATGACAGAGAAACCCTACCCACACAGATTACTCATTTAGTATTACTAATGTATTAGTGAACAGAACCCTGTTTTCTTTTAACCCGTGAATGATAGTTTCTTCCGTGTTGTGTTCGTGACTCCATGTTCCTAACCAAACGTGGTGTCCATTGTGTTCTGTGTTCAGGTGAGAAGCCGTATAGGTGCACGTGGGAGGGCTGCGACTGGCGGTTTGCTCGTTCCGATGAGCTGACGCGTCACTTCAGGAAACACACAGGAGCCAAACCCTTCCAGTGTGCCGTGTGCAGCCGCAGCTTCTCTCGCTCCGATCATCTCGCCCTGCATATGAAGAGGCACCAGAATTAGACACCAAAACACACTAACTGAAAAATCCACAGATACTTATTATTATTATTATGCACTTAAAGTGATAACAAAACGACTTATTTCTTTCTCTACACCGCGACGAACCTTATAATGTTTAGGGTAATCTTCTCTCTCTGACCTGTCGAGAGCTGTCGACTGTAAACCGAAAAGCTTTTGATATTACCACGAAATCTAGTTTCCTTTTCCCTCTCTATTTAGGATGTATAGATCACATTTCCTTTAGGACCCTCATCTCATTTTGACATTCGCTTTAATACAAAAAAAGCTGTGCTGTACATGAGACTCGGCTCTCGTCCTCTAATCGGAAGATGAAATGTTTTTAAACCTAATGAAATGAATGGATTGGTTCTTGTACATCTGCAAAGCACTAAGACACAACTCCCATTTTACTTTGCACTTGAATTAGACTGGAAAAGATGAATATCTATGTATGATAAATGCTTTTAATATATATCACTGGAATAGTTACTGCTCATACCGGGGTTTCAGGTACACAAGCAAAAGTATTTTATAGCTTTGGATGATAATGTGCTGCTACTGAACAGCAATTATTTCATGAATTATTAAACAATGGTATAGAAAAGCAATGAGAAGTGGAAAAGGGCTTTAGACAGCTGTGTGATTTGTACAGTCTCCTTTATACACACAAGCATGCCGACCATTTGTTTTCCTACTGTCATTGATGCATAAGCTCATATGAATGTACGAGACCACAGCGACTGTTCTTTTGAACAGATTTCATCTTAAAGTGCCTTTTCATGTTTGTTTTTATCAGCAGCACATGCCTAAACTTCTTGTTCATGAAAAGACAGACAAAAAAAATTCAGCAGGTTACCATTATTTCACCGTTACCGCAATTTGGATGCCTTTCATACGTTTAAGAGCGGGTTAAAGCATCAACTGGTTCATTCTTGTAAAATCGATGTATTTATTGCATTGGCTTTGTGAAGTGGAATTTGACAAGTTTTGTGTAATTGAAATGCCTTAATGTAAATACTATGACATTTTATTGTACTGTAAATATTATTTTGATTAATTTTGTTGCTCTTTTTTTTTCTTTCTTTTTTCGGAAAAGGATCATATTGCTCTGGATTTTGGCTGTGTGACTGAACTTTGGCAGTTTTTTTTATATTTCACTTATTTTGTAGATTCTCAGATTATATTTCTAAATTGGTTGTCCTCTTGACAAAATGTTTTTTTGCCTACTGATTGAAATGAAACCTAATAAAATCAACTTTATAATTTTTAATGCTTTTTACAAACCTCTCTCACACATTTTTTTTTCTGTGTTCAGTTTCTACAGAATTAATGGCAAAACTCCAAAAATAAAATACATAGAACGATCATTAATCAACCTCCCTCAAAGCAGATACACTACATTTATACAGTTTACATTGGCGTATTCCTAGGGGTTCCTGTTGACTCACTATACCATTTCTATTTGTTGATGTTTCTAAGGTCCAAGAAAAGAAATGCTACAAAGGAATAAAGATAAAAGTATCATCAAAGCAGAAAGTTCAGTTTCAAAGATCACTTGGACCTTTGCCACAAAGTTTGAATGTCTCTTATCTGATGGTTGACATCATAAAGAAACAATTTCCACAACTCAAACAAACCCTAAAGCTCTGAAAAAGAAAATTAATGGGAATTCCTTTTTATGTCAACATATGTCAAGAATGAGAGTGACCTTAGTACAATGCCTCAATGTTATTTTTTATTGCCTAGTGCAACCCATTAAAAATTTTTACATTTTGCCCAACAAAAACATTAAGAAAGCAAGTGATAGTTCACCCCAAAAATACCAATTTTGTAATCATTTATTCACCTTCATGTTGTTTCACACCTGTATGACCTTAAAATATATTTTGTGAAATGTCTGTTTTGCGAATGAGATGGAATAGAATGAAAGTCAACAGTAACCAAAATGGGTTACCAACATTCATAAAAAGATCTTAGAATTGGTGATATTCAGAGTACAAATGATATTAGTTACCAATATAAAATATAAGTGTTAATTTAGGACCTTAAATGTAATTTGATAGTAGAATTTGGTCTCGTAATTCAAGAAGATTTCTATTTTTAATATGGGCATAGTATGCAGCTCATGTATAAGACAGATCCCACAAACATCTCAAACTCCAGTTTACAGCCTTTAAAAATCAACCTTATCACCGGAATCTTAATCACTTCTGGAAGGGATCATTTCTCTGCTCACAGGCTCATAGATCCCGACCAGAGTCCACTGTGACTGCTGAAAATGTCTTAGGAATCATATCGAGCCTCTTCACAATAATTCTGGAATTAGTATGATGCCCCTTTTTATCTGATTCTCAACCAGTATGTAGAATAGTAACGATCTGTTATGTTCAGAAACGATCAGCACGGATGGACACTTGGTGAACGCACTGTTTGTTTTAAGAGGCATCACTGGTTTCTTGGGGTGCAACCGAATTACAAGCTGCCAAAACGTTTGGGACCCCTGTGAGCAAAGAAACAATACAGCTTTTGATATGAGATCAGGAAACGCCACAAAGGAAAATAAATGCTTTCATTGCTTTTAAAGAGAAGGGGAATTTCTCCCTCTCTTCTACATATGTTCTTAGTTTGATTCCTCGGACAAACCTCAGCCCCTGGACATAATGAACTTCAGATGTCAAAGACAGGCAAACAATGGAAGCTCCATTGGACCCAATCAGGAGGTTCTTCAATGTTCCTCCTGAGAATTGTTACTCCTACAAGTCCCCTTCTCTCCTCCACTCTTTCTTCCTCTCCTACCTCCCCCTTTCCGTAGCCTACATGGAGGTTTTAAACCCCCAGGGTGAACATTATTTCTCTAATGCATAGGGCCCCTAGTTTTTTCTTCACTTCCAGCCCTCAAAACATCATAAGCTGCACTTTCTCATAACCTGTCCCAGCCAGATCAATACAAATGAGTCTCCCGTTGCTGTAAACAAACAAAAGTGCCAAAGACAAAGGAAACGGCTTTATTTCTCACAGATTTGTACACGTTATGATATGGACAGTGTCAGAAAAAAGAACCAATTATAATCGGGTTAGCCTAATCTATTCCAACTCTAAGACTTGATAGCTTTGTGTGAATTGGGACAAGTCAAAGGCTTGTTAGTTTAACTTTTAGACCAACAAAACCAAAGTAACAATCATATGGGCCTTTATATAAGTCAACAAAGTTCAAGAAGTCAAGGTGTCAGTTTCTGGGCAAAAAATGTCTAATTTACAGCACTACACATATCACCCAATTTTTACCGCTTCACTCAAGCACTAATCATGCAGCTGGATGGTCGGGTTAAATGTTCAAAAAGCAAGGCTACAGCCCCTTGAATTTTCAAAGGGAGTTTCCTAGACACACAGTCCTCAGATAAATGAAAGGTTAATTAAAGGTGATTCTTCTTTTCAGTACATCTGCAATAGCATGAAAATCTAAATGACAGAATTCAATATTTTGGTCAAATTAAGAGTGCTGAAGTGATCATGTATTTTTGTAGGCCAACCCGTAAAATAAAAGATGGTATGTTTTTGCAGAAAATAAGCTCTGAGACCAACAAAAGTTCTTGCATGTTTTATTTATCATGATAATCTTCACAAATGAACACAAATTTTATGAATTTTGAAGCCTAAATTAAGTTGCCTGAAGTAAAATCTAACCGTAGGCTATAAACGAACTACAGCACGGTTGCATGACTTCTACATCACCACCATTAAGATTCCAACAACTCTTTCAGTCTTTCATATAAAAAAAATAATAAAAAATTCCCTGAAAGTCTGAGTTTTCAATAGCTCAGTTAAAGCTTTAAAAAAAACCACATGGAAGTTGTACTGATGTATTTTATGTCACAGAATAAAACATGAAAATATGTTGAACTTGTGTTAACCACAGGCATTTACAGACTTATTTAATGCATTTATTTAAGCACTAAGCCCTTTCAAAACACCCACTGACTTCAGGACATTGAGAACCGGAAATGCAAACTCGTTTCTGTGTTTTGACCTATCCAAATTTGTCATGGCTGCAGCACTCTGTAATAAAAGAAGCATAGTCAGGGTTCAGAGTTAACGCTTGCCAAAGCACAAATTGTGAGTAAAATCTGGCTTTGGCAAATATAAAACTCACCATTTGGCCAGTAGCTTTATTACACAAACACAATACATTCAAATCAAACGCAACTCAAATTTTTATTATTATAATTTTTTTAAATATCAGAAATTTTGCCTAGGCTGTCTAAAGTTCTCTTATGTCTTCTTTAGCACTCCATGGGCTTTTCACACTTGAAATAGTTAACAGGGTTATTTTAAAACCCAGGTAAATGGAATCCTGGGTTATCTTGATTCACATTTCACATTGCTCAAAATTTGCCCAGGGTTAACTTTTAATCCTGGGTAGGCTATTCATAAACTGTACATTCCTAAACCCTGGGTTAACGTTCCTATTTGCATATTAAAAATGTCAGCGTCATTCACTGGATGAACGGAGCACTTTATCTGTTTACATAACAGCTTTTTCCTGGGTGTCAGTTGCTAAGCATCTAGCCATAACACTTTAACACTGTATCTTTTCACGCTGTACACGTTAAAAGCGGCTAACCTCACTTTTAAATTACAAGTGTGAAACATACCTGGGACGTTAAAACGCGGGGTTTAGAATGATGATAACCCGAAAAGCCCTCATGTGGTAGAATGGGGAATATTCCTTTCCTTTAAACTACTAAAATTGTTGACGTTTTTGTGACAAATGCAGTTTCACCGAAGACTGGCTCGTCTCTCAAATGACAAAAACCTTTTTTTCTTTTCCTTTCTGGCTCTTACAACACATTGCTTGTGATATTCCTCATCTGTAAGTAGTGTAAATTAATAGATCAATCAGACAAAATATATTTGAAACAAACACAACATTCTGAGAAGATGTATTTCTGTTTAATTTGCCCTTGACAGGTGCAGAAAAAAGTAAATTTTGGATCTGGATATTT